CTTTTGACGAAGATTTTTGTGATTCGCATAAAACTGATCGCTGGAAAGTACGATTATCTCGATGCGCACATAATTATCTACTACTGTGCCCAAAAAGTAAGACCAGTTTTTATTTATTTCAAAAAATATTTATTTATTCTTCCAAATCTATTTCGTCGCCTTCAAAGTAATCCCCTCCCGACCCAATATACTTATGCCAACGTATTTTCCAGTCCTCGAAACAAGAATTAAAGTCGCCTTCCGGGATGGCTTTCAGAGCGCGTAGCGATTCACGTTGTATCTCTTCTATCGTCTCAAAACGATTTCCCCGCAGTGGTCTTTTGAGTTTCGGGAATAGCCAGAAGTCACACGGTGCTAAATCAGGCGAATACGGTGGTTGTGGAACGATATGGATCGAATTTTTGGCGAAAAAGTCACGAAGAACGAGTGCAGTGTGAGAAGTGTATTTGGCACTAGTCGAGATTTTACACGTTTCAAGCCCAAAATATCTTTCAAAATGGTATTGGCAGATCCTTTCGAAATACCAACAGCATCAGCAAGGTCTCTAACAGTCATTCGACGATTAGCAAGCACAAGTTCTTCGATTTTCTTGACGTGTTGTTCATCGGTAGAGGTTGATGGTCGTCCGGAACGCTCTTCGTCTTCAACACTTTCACGACCTTCTTTGAACTGTTTATACCACTTGTAAACATTCCTTTCCGACAAAGCATGGTCCCCGAAGGCTTTCTGCAACATCCTGAACGTTTCTGCACCCGAAATTTCATTCCGCAAACAAAATTTAATGCAACTTTTTTACTTAATATAATTAGACATTGTAAAAATCGCCGAATGCACTTTTAGCGTCGTACAAAACCAAGCGTAAAGTAAAAAGTAATGAATGTTTTGACATGAAATTTGTCACAGATGTGCTGCCAACTTAGAAAAAAAAATATTTATGATGTGCGGTTTACCCGTGCGATTTAAATTGAAATCTGGTCTTACTTTTTGGACACAGTAGTATATCCGTGTTTACTCCAATGTGTGTGTGTGTGTGTGTGTGTGTTAGGAATATACGGAATTGAATGGATAAATGGATTGAATGAATCTAGTAATCACATAATAATTAACATGAAAGCGTCGCTCTTGTACTTAGAAATAATGAAAAATTGAAAAAACAAAATTTGTCAAATTATTTTCTGTGAAGAACTTCCCTAATAACATAGCCTATTGGTGTCATTGACCCAATATTGATTACATTGGGCATATATTGTGCCAATTTAGTCAATATATAGCCAATATTGATTATAAATAAAATGTGAATAAATTGTCAATATTGCACAACATGATTGCACCAATGCTGGTGTACATTGAGGTTACATTGGATAAATATAATATTGATAACAAACGAATTTGCTAATATTGAGAATTCTATATTAGTTATAAAATATAAGGTGTCAATTAGGCAATACTAAGCTAATATTAGGTATATTGGAGCCCAATTTGTTGCTAATATTCACCTAATTAATTATGCTACTAGGACTTACGTTAAATTTAGCATTTTAATCAAAGATTATTGAAATAAAAATTCAGTTCGTTTATTACGTAGAGTCAAATCAATTTCTTCTTTGAGGAGATTTTATAATATTCCTGCAAAAAGAATAAATTCTTCTTTTAAGTGTATGATAATAAACTTGTCTCAAATTTGTGATAAGTAGTATGTTTTAAGACTATTATAAAGAAGATACTCTTTGTCGAAGATAAACATTCTTTAAAAGAAGGAACATAAACTGAGAGTGGTCACTTTTCTTAGCAATAGAATGATATTTTTGCGACCATTCACGATGACGGTTTTCACAGCTTGGGTCTGTCATTGCCTCATTCTCGCAGGACACCCGCGGGTTATCGTCGTGAAGTGTCGCACCGCCGCGCGTCATCGAGGGTGCGTTGTTGCGACCCTCGGCGAAGGTGAGTCCGCGACGGTGTCAAGTGCACACACCGGCGGTGAACGAGAATTCGGAAAGCGGTTTAGCTAGATCAATCCGCCGCGGGCCGGGGTCAGCGATTCGCTTAAGGTAGAACGCGTATAATAAAGTAGCTAATGGGGCGGCTACGGCGAGGGTGGAAGCGCGCGGGGCTGTTTGACGAGAATCTCGGTGTGCGTTTGACGTTGGCTTGTTCACCGGCTCCGTGACGCGTAAGTCTTTAACGGGAAAATAACGGTAGCCTCCACGTTATATCCCTGATGAGCGATGAACAACTTACTTTGGATTGTAGCGTCGCGCCGTCTCTGTCTTCGTGGACAACTGTGCGCTGAATTTGAACTCTGTAAAAAAATCGGCTAAAGAGAACCGAGTCCCAAGCTTACACAAATTTGGTTGCACAGACTATCGTCGAGTTAAATTGCATAAGAGTCGAGCGAAATTTTGACAATTTAATGCAGCAATCCGAAATAAAAAATTTAGTCAACGGTAAAATTTGAACGGAACCGGAATGTAATTGTATGATGTGAATATTCTTTTACTAATAAAAACTTGGTTTAATTGTATAATAGGGGAAGTTGGGGTTATATGTTTCATATCTCAGAATTTCGAAGTTACAATTTCTTAGACAACCAATTGTTGTGACTGATTGTACAAACATCATAGAGGCAGTCTTCTTTTATGTTAACATTCACCTCATGATTCTGTTAACAATGTATGTATTTTGTATTATAATAATCAAAATACAAACATACAGCAATATGGTGATCTTGTCTTGGTACCGGATTCAGTAGTGTAGGGTAAAGAAGGTCACATATAAAATATGTATCATAGATGTATCTTTGATATGTATCTTTGATTAGTAGTTCCAGAGTCTCCACAGCCCTCTTGCCGGCCTTTAAATATGGATCAACTTTGTCTCGTCCATTTATATGTTCTATTTCAATCATTTTATGAATGAAAATAACTTTTATTATCCGAAACAAATATCATATACTTGTAAGAAACTTCATTCCAGCTAGTAACACGTCCCTTAACTTTATTTACTCACTATGGAGAATTTTAATGCAAAATTTCGAAAGATTCGAAAATTTATTTTTCTACTACTAAATCAGTTTTTTCCGTACTTTAATTATAATATTGTTCAGATTTTAATGAGACTCAGAGAAATATATCTATGTTGTCAAAGAACCATTTCACAATTTTGTATTCGTTGTTTTTCTTACGATAAACACTAAAAAAAACATAAGAAAAATATATGAGCAACATTCTTCTGAGATCATCTAGACCCGGTCTTCCCTATAGATAATTCCATTTCTGGTGGAAAGTCAAGCAAATCAGATCGATAATGTGTTGGATTAGTTTTGCGTGTTCACTCTATTATATTAAATTTTGAGTTTCTCTGTACACAAATAAAAAAACAGCAAATGTCCTTTAAAATAAGTAAGACAATTAACTCGTCAAATATAACCCTAAAATAGAATTCGTTTAACTCAATTCGAGTGGTTTCGACTAATCTCTATTTTTGTGGTATAAATAATAAATATGATTCTTTGATATTCGATTGCGCATAATGATGGGCGACAAAAGACGAATGTTATGGTATAATTTAAATCGCGAAAGGATAATACTTGATAACGAATGTGCCTTCAGAGTTCCTTCAAAAATTTTCAGTGTGAAGAGAAGATATATGAAAGTGCCCCTTTCTGATTTTGATGAATTTTAAGTATATTGTAGAGTAACTTAAAATAAAAGATACATATTTTCTTTATATGTGCTTTCTTGCGCGTTTAAATGTTGAATAAATAATTTGCGGGAAATACGATAAAATTAACCGTAAACGAATATCTTCGAAATTGCTCGGTATATAAAAAACAAAAATGATTTGCACGGCAGTTATTTGATAATCTTTATATCTGTATTTAAATAATTAAAAAATATCATTTTTTGACACACACATATCCTCAACTGTCATACATTTCTAAAGAAATTAAATGCAGAATTTAAAGGATATATTAAATACCATCCATCTTTTTCTCAGGATATTTTCTCGTACATATTACGGTTTCGAAGATATTCGTTCGAGTTATCTTCCAGGGGTCGATTCGAGCCCGAAATGCGTGGAATAAAAATGCGCGGGACATATAAATAAAAATACGTGTTTTTTTATTTTTAGTTGCTCTGTAACATATGTGCAGAGCCCATCGAAATCAGTGAGGGTCACCTCTATATGTTTCCTTCTCTCTCTATCCACCAGGCCGACCTTTTAATCCTGCATATCGATTTTTAATCATTAAAACCCTATGTATAAATATTTCATGAATATTCTGTGTGTGTATTCCACAAATATATTCCATATATATTTTTTTCTGGAGATAGGAAGAACAATAGTTTCAGAGAGAGAGAGAGAGAGAGAGAGAGAGAGAGAGAGAGAGAGAGAGAGGGAAGAAGGAAGGGAGAAAGTATCGAGAAAATTCTCTCGATTATCAGAACAAAAGCACATTTGCTGTTTGATGATTGTTAGAGAAACAAATCGAATAGTTATTGTTGCAAATAATTCCTTACGAGATTTATCATTTTAACAAACATATAGTACCCGAGAAACAAATCACATGTGTTCTCGTCTATTTAGTTTAGGTTAATGATGTCTCTATTAAGCTCATTCTACAATAACTGTGAAAATATGGAATAAAATATAAATAGTAAACTAATCGATCGATAGAATTCTTACAACCCAAGAATAATGGACTCTGATTGGTTAGTTTGCTTACTGCTTATGTTTTACTGCATATTTTTACGATTATTGTAGAACGGCCTTCACAGAAGTATTGCTCAGAGCAGTAAATTGGAAGTAATAAATCATTCGTTCCCACTATGCTGTGCCATATCAACAAACGATCCATTTGCAGTTGAGATATTTGGTTAAATTACCAAAAAGCTTGTTCTTTCAGTGTGAGGGAGGAAGAGAGAGATACCCTCACGATCAGATTTCACCGCAAACTGTTAACGGCTCCATGTCGGGCGCACGCCTTGTGTTCGCAGGTGAAGATCTGGTTCCAGAATCGACGTATGAAGTGGAGGAACAGCAAGGAACGGGAGCTGCTGGCGACCGGCGGTTCGCGCGAGCAAACGTTACCGAACAAGAACAACCCGAATCCGGATCTGAGCGACGCCGACGGCGATAGGCCGAGGATGGACCTGAGTGACGTCAGTCCGCTCACGAGCCCTCAGAGGCCCGAGGAGCACACGGAGAACGAGGAGGACGAGGAGATCAACGTCACGTGATAAAGCAACATCGCTCTGTACGGCGTATGACTTCCGTGCGTCTTGACGAAAAATAGTAGACAATTCTTAATTCAGGAGGCAGACCCAAATGCATGTATATGTACCGGCTGGACCAAAAAAAAGTAAAGAAATTAAAAGAAAAGTCAGATGTAATGTAAAGCGGATTTGCCAGTAGGGACGCTCGAACAGATCGAACAGAAAAAAGAAAGTGCTAGCTTACTTCGATCGTTTGATACGTACATATTAAATAATGACATCTTTATTATTATTTTAAATCGTCTTGATGTTGACGATGCACGCGAACAGTGTGCAATTACGTAAGAAGACATGTCGTGTCAATTAAATTCACTATTGTTTGCACGTAACGCCGAGAGATTAAGATAATTTAATAGGAAGTTATTAGTTGGAAGGGGGCATGCATATTAACACTACACACAGAAAAAGATCATCTTACTGCTGAGAGAAGCGGAGAAAAAAGAACACTTTTGTTTTGAAAATATTTTAATTTTTTACAATAATTTCTTTAAATATTTTCGTTTTTTTATAAATCGTAAAATGAGATTACATAGCGTTAAACGAAGGTAAGCATACAATACATTTCATTTTGTATATGAAATATATATTTTAGGTATGATATATATATTTTCTTTATAACGAAGAAAAATATATAAATAATTTTTATGAATGGGAAGCACAAAAAATATTGGATTGAGAATATAACGTTTTTAAATGTCGGAAGAAGATACTATTGTCATCCAAATAATCATATTGCACTTCTTATAAGACTATTATGATATTCGAATCAAACTATAACATTGTTGAAATTCAAAATTTTAAAATTCCTATAAACAAAATTATATATCGTTGCTCATATATGAAACAATTATTGTTAATTTGAGTATATCAGTTCTAAGTAGATATTAATTTTTTTTCTATGCAATCTATTTCTATATTCTATTTTTCTATTTCTATGTTCTATTTTTTTCTATGTATGTCTAATCCTAGACATTTAAATTTCTGAATGTAAAACCGAACTGAAAGAAAAGAAGACAAGAGATTGTATTCTTCCATTTTTATTGTTTCGATTTCTTTAAGTACGAATATTTATAAACTTTCAACATAGAATACATATATTCTATGCTGAAATATTTGAAACAAGTAACGTTCACTTGAATGCAGTGTAAATGCATTTTTCTACATATAAAATTATCAAAGTAGTCAAAAATATGAGAGCATAGGAGAGGTGTGCGTAATATCTTATAAAAATTACCCAAATTTATAACGATACATTTTGTGTCTTTAATTAACTGAGTAGAACTAAATGAAGTAAGTAAACATTTTTTCCCTTATATTACGTACTTTTTTAAAAAAATCTGTCGTTTTAACTGCTCTGATAAAAATAGGTCGTTAATTATCGATTAGTTCTAGTGTTAAACGGTCGTTGTAAACTAGACTAGAGAAAGAGAGAGAGAGAGAATCGAAGATTTCCTCGTTTTTCTGACATGTTATATTATCACGAATTTTGAAAATACCCGTCGATCATCGCCAATATGAGAACCTCGTGTTTCTTGTTGAGATATACTTTGGACCATCCGGTATGCATTACAATTTATTTTACAACGAAATATGTGCAAAGGAAAAAGAAAGAAAGAAAAGAGAAAGAGAGAGAAGGAGAAAGAGAGAGAGACAGAAAGAGAAAGAAATACCGCGCCAGTTCGATGGAGATTGCTGCTAATTTTAATCGTACATTTTCCAGCTGTCCGATCTTTCAATTGCCGACTGTATTTCCGGATAATTGGATCGCTACAGCGTGTTCCAGATTCATCGCGCGAGAGGAAGCCCGATCAATCTGTGCGGCGCTACGTAATCTACATTTACGGAAACTCGCGTGGCGTTCTTGTGTTTAATGAGACGTTGAGTGCTTAGTCCGGCCATAGAGAGGGTGTTCCGTTTAATCTCGCGCTTCTTATTTCACGACGGTAGCGAAAAATCGCGCCCGTACAGTTCTCCGCAGTGTTGAATGAATAAATGAATAAATGTAGATGTTATATCACACACGAAGGTAGCCCGAACGACAGACGCGATTGGTGGACCAGCTTTTAACGACGATAAGCGACAGAAATAGCGGCGCATTCGATCGAAACGGACATCTCGTGCAAGATATTAATTTGTCGCGGTCTCGTATAAGTGTTATTGATTAAATTTAATTTAATTCAATTTAATTTAACTTATTAATTCACTTTGGATAGCTACGAATTTATAAATACATTGGAAGTATATCGTAATATCAGAAGCGGGAAGAAGATATTCCAATTATTTTACAATTTGAAAGTCTATCATATAAAATTATAATGGAGGACGTCTATACTTTTTACGTGCATAAATCGTAAAGGTTTGTAGGACAGAAGATGAAGGATTCGTCCTGCAATCACGTAGTATATTCAACGAATGAGAGTCCAATTCTCAGTTGGTATCCAAATGCAATACTTATATCAATTGGATAATCGAAAGTTCATTTCGCATTTAGCGTTAAATAGACTCGTCGATAGGGAACATTATTATTCTTCCTGTTTTTAATATCATACATCGAAAGTTTCATTTTGGTGATAAAATGAGTTTTGCACTCGACGTCAATGAACACACTATGTGGGTCAGAATTTGCCATAATCTTAAATATTCTGTACTTGCAGTTTCGAACATTCTGCGCTTAAAATGAAACGATCGTAGCTATAACCATACAAAGTGGCGATCACTCTCGTCAGCTGTATGCTTGAAGTGGACGTAGGCAAAATTCTTGCCGAGATTGGACAGCTTCTCTTTAACTAAGGCCGGTATTCATAGTCGGATCTTATATTTAAGACCGTCTTAAATTCTCCTTCAGATACTCCGTAGCCAATAATCTGTACATCATCTGAAGATGAACTTAAGACGGTCTTAAATATAAGATCCGACTATAAATACCGACCTGAGAATTACTTCACCACGGATCCAAAGAGTTGACGTTGACGAGCTCGTCCAAATCCGCATCAATGATACCTTGCGACTGGAGACATGAATGGCGTTCGTTTCGCCATGTAATACAATATAAAAATGTCGAAGCCGTCCTGACGATATGATGGACATTGCACTTGTCACATCCAAAGTGAACGATTAGACATAAAAGATGTTCACTTGGTAACAATTAATTAAGATTTCTGATCAGTCAGCCGAGAACTCCGCATTGATGGTGACGACATGATTATCCAGACAGCACAGATCTCCAGAGGATGTCCTGGAGACGTTTTCAGGACGTAGGGACGTTCTCAGAATGTCCTTAGGATGCCTGTGGAGATTAGTGCTGTTTGGATATTAAGGGTAAAATGATGAGCAAACTATTGCGTTCTAAAACATCTTTTTTGAGGAAAATTTTACTCAATATCTATAGTTCACATTACATATACTATAGAATATCAAGTAAAATTTCCTTAAAAAAGACGTTTTAGAGAATGTAACCTCGGTGTATAAAATGCAGACCACTGCGATAAGTTAGAGTGAAGGAAGGTATACTTGTCTCTCTCTAACTTATTGCACTAACGCAAAATTCATCGAAAACAAATGGACCTAATGATGTAAACAGACGATCCATTTTTTTCTACGAACTACAACGTTATTACTCAGTGTAGTGCGTGCATGTCACATGTGATACAATTATGGAAATATAGGGATGCTCCGGATGCCTATTGTGATATTTAATGCATGTAAGTAGTTATTCAGTCGACACAGCTAATTTTCTGTCAAAACAGGCGATTTGTCATATTTATTTTACGATTACGTAATAAGTTATTTCGGAAAAAGAGGAATATTCGGGGAATTTCACAAGTAGAACAGATTGCAAGTGTTATTTGAATGATATATCTTTTTATTTAGCTATAGTTCGCAGGAATTCTGGACATGGTTTTCCTCACTTCTGACATCAACAATCCAATATAGCCGCAATGACTGATCAGGAGTCTTAATATAATTAAAATTGAGGACTGTTAATAATATTTCACGATGACTATTATACAACGTCCTTCGATTTGCATGTATTATGGAAATACGTTTGAGACCAAAAACGAACATAATTTATGGTTAGATTATTGTTACTGTGTGTGCAATTATTTTTTCTCTCAATGTATATATGGACCCAACGACGTAACTATTTTTTCTTTCAAACTTGGAAGAAAAATGATTTTTCGTACTTTTGCTAATACCTCCGAAACCAACGAATGTGTGCTTCGACCAGATTTTCCGCTATTTCCACCGTTCATCGTCGTTCGAGATTAATCGCGCGTTAAGTAAACACGAGAGGCTGCATGCGATGTTCTGTCTTTTGACTCCTATTTCCAGTAACATTTCATTGTTTAGCCTGCGTGAGAGGTCATCGGTTTGCTCTTGATATTTTTATTTCCTTTTTCGAAAACCAACGCGACTTGTGGATTACACTTCTGGATGAAAAAATTGCGCGTCGTCGCGACGAAACTGGTCCCGAACGAAGCGATGCGGCGAATGTATTATATTGTAATTAGCGATGGATGTACCTTCTCAAGGAGTCTTATATAAGCCATTGTGTAAGGTTGTATTAGACGTAATGTTACGATTCCGGAAATATGTACCTAAGTCTTACTCGTAAATGCCGCGCGGCCAAATCCAAATGTAATTATATTCATTGTGATTCAATATAATCTATGTAATATACTGAAATAAAACTGTCTATACTAAGCGACTTACGCACCTCTAACGTCGACGTGATAAGCGAAGGCTGCAAGATCAGAGCTAACGTCTCGCACATTTGCTCTCGGTCCGACGAATTTCTCCCACATTTCAATGTTATCACCAATGGTCCTCTTACCTCTTTCTAAATCTTATGATTCGACGATCGAAGAGAAGTGAGCAAATAAATTCATTACGCAAGTAAAAAGTTACATTTTATTTGTTGATATAAGGTTTCTACATATACAGTATATAGTTATATCGCCACAAGTGGCTCCCGACCTAATTCTTTCATTGCGGGAATAAACGGGATGGCTACAATTTATAAAACTGGAAGTATATCGCGATATCAAAAGCAAGAAGAAGATATCTTGCACTTTAAAAGTCTCTGATAAAATTATAACGAAAGAAAACTTCTATTCGTTTACTTTTTACGTGCATCAGTCGTGAAATGTAGATATGGAACAGAAGATGAAGGATTCATCCTGCAATGCTCATACACATGATATATTCAATGCCAAATGAGACAATCCAATTTCCAGTTGGCATCCAAACGCAATATTTATACTCAGTTACAGTTGATTGAGTAATCAAAAATTCAACACGTATTTAGCATTAAATAACAAAATAGATAGATCATTAAATAGATTCGTTGATACAGAGTATTAATCGAAGCATCATCTTGATTTTGATATCGTAAGAGCATGTAGTACCTTCTCATGAACATTTTTCAAAATGATTTGATATATTTTTCTCAATGCATTTCGGAACACAACCAATGTCCAATGACAGAACTTCTGGAAATTATTCAAAACTATGTCTCATTAAACATCAGCTACGTTTCAAATTGCATCAAGAAAAAAAATATTTAAACTGAATCGCCACATTGAAAGAAATTAGACAATAAAAAAATTAAAAAATGTATATTTCCGATCAAAATACCGATGAATTTTTATATCCGATCAGGATATCTGATTAAATTTAATAGAACATTTCATAATGATATTTCATTAGATAAACCAAAAAATTATAAAGCAATATTTTTTATTGGATGTTTTTTGATCAAATATAAAAATTCATCGGTATTTTGAACAGTGCAACTGTTTTCCTCAACGCAGTTTGGAACACAACCACCGATGTCCAATAACAGAGCTCCTAAAAATTATTTAAAATCATGTCTCATTGAACATCGGCTACGTTTCAAACTACATCAAGAAAAAAAAAAATATTCAAACTGTATCGCCAAGTGAATACGAGTTCCTATTTTCTTACGAATTCCTTTTAATAATTAAACTAATGTAGTTTATATTTTTACCGTACCCTGCGATTGTCTTTTATTTTTTAGAAGGGAAGAAGCACATATTGTGCTCACAGAATACATAAAATTTTAAGAACATAATATAATGTAAGAAAGTCAAAGCTGTTTTGCAACAAAATGAGTTTTGCACTCGTCATATTTCGAAGTCAAAGATTGGTGAAAAAGTGTTCGGTTAATAACAATCAGAATTATTGAAACAAAGATTTTTGTCAGTAAAAATTTATGTGACATCAAATTGAAAAAGAAAAAGAAAGGGAAAAAAGCCGACGAATTAAATTCTTGAACGGAAATCAATTTAAAGATATTATGTACAAGCATAAATACAAAAAGAGTCCACAAGATTTGTCATAATCCTAGTTACTCTGAACTTGCGGTTTTGACCATTCTACACTCAGAATAAGGTGATCGTAGCCATAACCGTTCAGAGTTGTAATCGCTCTCGCTGCGTCCGCCCTGTGCTTGAAATGAACGTATGCGAAGCCCTTGCAGAGATTGGAAAGTTTCTCCTTGGCCAAGAATTGCTTTACCACGGACCCGAAGGGTTTTACGAGTTCATCCAGATCTGCATCAGTGGTGCTCTGCGAGAGATTGGAGATGCGGATTGCGGTTGTGTCGTCTCGTCTCTGCATTTGCATGGAATCGCCGCGCTTGTTGCCGCCGTCGCGCATACCGGGCGGCACGTACTTGCCACCTTGCGGCTTAAGTTCTACCATCGCACCTGGTACGGCCGTGTTAACGAGCGGTTTCTTGTCGTCCGGCACTTTTCCTGGAATAGAGAAGAGCGTGCGCTTAGAAATTCGCCGAAATAAAGAACGTATCGTGTACAGGTATGCCGGCTAAAATACTAGGATCGACGTTTGCAGTTCAGGTCGTCACTTACCTCCAGCGAGAACAGTGTCCTTGTACGGACATTTGGACGTCCAATGGTCACCGTTGCAATTACGGCACTTGACGACACCCTTGTCACCCATGCTTTTCAGTTTATCCAACGAATCCTCCTCCACCTTGTTCTCCTCCTCTTTACTGGATATGAATTGCATAAAGACATCTTCACCGATAACAGTCGTCGCTGGATTAGGCCCCGGCCTATCGTCTTCAGAGTCCCCAAATTTGTCCCAATTCTTACGCGCCGCGATCGTCTTTGACACTACGCGTTGTTCCACCTTGAAGGTGCGCACCACTTTCACCCTCTTGTCGTCTTGATTGTATTTGTATTCAGTAAGTATTTTGTGGCCGTTCTCGTAGACCTCTGAGGGCACGGGCAGCGCTCCTCCCTCCTCTTCGACTTCGTCAGCCCAACTTGACTTTACCTCGGACGCAACTGGCATTTCTGGAAAATTTTAAATAGATATGAGCGCTGTTCTTAGTGCGTTTGTGGGTGTGTATGTGTGTAAATATAAAGTTTCAAAATGTAAAGAAAATCGAATACTTTTCTTTCGGATATATTAGATATATTTTTAATGGTATACTTCAATTAATGTTATTCAGACGAGCTCATTTGTCCGTGTGACAATATCTGATAAATGGATGTTACACAAGTTATATCGTACTATGGAATATGATATTTTATGAGAGTACATGGAACATTATGTTGATATATAAATATCTTATGTAAATATCTATTATATATACTTAACCTATTACAGACATCTCAGTCATCTTATTTTTATAATAAATGAAACGTAACAAGAGAGAGAGCCAGAAAGTGTACACAAACGCTGAAACAAATTAGACATGAAATTATACAATTTTATACGCAGAATATTTTATATCACATTATTGGTGTATATCTTATTTAAAATATAACTCTTTATAAGTAGGATACAGAATGTACTGTCATGATTCAATCTATCTGTCTATTTTATCATCAAAGTTATGTTTGACAATTTTTTATGGATGTAAGAGTGTTTCGCAGTGTATGAAAAACTGAATGCAGTCAATCCTTGTTATCAGAATCAATTAACATCAAAGGCAATTTCATTCAAGACTTACAACAGACACACAGGCCTGGCAAGTTTCCAAAAATTAAAGATACCCATCTCTCTCTCTCTGTTGCACTTTATTATTTATAAAAAGATATATCCTTTACTATTCTCATAAAATCCTTACAACTGTTGTATGTATAGTTTATGTGTAACATCATATTTACGTAGGATGAATCATAATGGGTAAACTAGCTTTTTACCTACAACACAGATTATCAACCATATGTCTAATCAACTTATAGATGGTGATTTATTATGTAAGGCGATTGCGTAGATACACTGAATACAGGAATTAAAGGAATATTTAATGATATGTGTGTTAAAGCGGTAAAAATATATGTTCTTATAAAATAATTGCCTAATTCCTTTTTTTTATAAGAGATATCTTGCCATATATTTTTTACATATGAAAATAACAGCATATATGTTCACATTCTTCAGTCTTTTCCAGACATGGCGTTCTCCAGATCTTTGATATGTAAGGTTAAAAAAATAAAGATATATTAAAGTCATATTATGTAACAACACACATATGTATGAAAATAAATATATCACGTGTAAATGTACATAACATGTCAACAATTTATCAGTGTTTTCACCATAATAAGTGCTCGAAATGACTACCTTCCATCCTCTCACAAAGCGTAGCTCTTTGCAACATTGTGTTACGTACAAGATCTGCGGTTTTATTACACAGTAAGTTTATAGTTCTGCCTTTCAGATCTTCACTTTGGCCGCGATCCGTTTCACGAATATATGCGTATTTATCTATAATTTATGTTACATATATTTATATTGTAGGAAATGCGCGCATAATGCGTGAAACAGAACGCAACCTTTGAGTTCTTCAGTGTTGCAAAAAGTTATGCTTTGTAAGAAGATGGAAGATGGTCATTTCACTTATAGTAAAAATATTAATAAGTTGTTAACATGTTATATACGGTCACACGTTGATATATTTTTAACATTCGCGCGTGTGCTTTTATATAATATGATTCCAATATATCCTTGTTTTTGAAGCTTATATATCGAAATAAGACCTGGAGGCGTCTGGAAAAGACTAAAGAATGTAAACATATTTATGCTTTTATTTTCATATGTAAATAATATGCGGCAAAATAGCTCTGATGAAATTTCTTACAAAAAAATAAAACTACACAATTATTCCGTAAAAACACATACTTTTGTCGCTTTAGCACACATATTAGCAAATATTGTTTCAGTCATACACTTTAACGTAATTTGATTCTATTTTTTAACATGTTTGTACTTCGCGGCTAGCAATTCGCATGGTGTGTTTACGCAATCGCCATCTATATACGCAAGTATATCGATTAGACATGCAGTCGATAATCTAACTCATAGGATAAAAAGCTGGTTTATCCACTATGACTTACTCTGTATGATATATTGGCAATCATGAGTTAATAAATTGGTATCTCTAAATATTTCTATGAACTTGATGAGATTCTTTCAATCGACCTGGACTGAATTAGAATATCTCCTGCGAGAAATAACAATAAATGGCTGCGTTCAGAAAACAGCTGATCAGTGAGCGGTCAGTGATTATTGGTCCTTACTGTTAGATCCCTAACTTTAGACCAATTACGTTGACTAATTACTCAACCGTTGTGCAACAGTTGTGTCTTCTGAACGCACCCATTGGCTTCTATCTATTTCAATTCTCATTACCCAGTGAGAAATGATTTTCCAATCGACGTCGAAATCGTCAAATCGACGTCTTTTCGACATCTATCGGTAAGTCATTTCTCACTGGGTAACCAAATTAGTTTCAAAAACGTATCAGATGTAGATAATAAAGAATGGTGAAACATACAAGACCCCATCGCAAGAAGTGACGCCTTGTCATAACGTGTCTACAAATAGCAGAGATGAAACTAAACTACCTCAATATGGCTTCTCCTCGCGATACTAATTAGCCATAGTTATGCAAGAATCCAACCCACAAAATTGTAATTTTTTATTTGTAAGCTTTATCAATGAGTAACTCATATGTCCTTCTCTATAAAATAAAAAAGATTCATGCTTTATGGGCGCCTAAAATTAATTAAGGATCAATTTTTATTTTTATCAGTTACACTATTTTTTACTTATTACGACTTCTTTATCCATTTTCTTAAGAGTTAAGCTTATCAATAAATACCTTTAAAAAGAAGAAATGGATTATGCTTGACTTTTTGAGCGATTGCAGAGAACTTCAGTGCTGTCTATACTTTTTAAACATTTATCAAATTCTCATTTTCAATTTTCTCAAAATGTACTCCGTGTAAGTTGGGTCAATTTTGCACAATTACAGCCAACTAGTCTCGCGCGATTCTCTTGCAGTTTATTCCATATAGTATTAAGATTACTACCTTTATTTAAAGATAGTAATCTTAAACGTCTCTAAGGTTTGGTTGCACCAATATTATTTTGGCTTTAAACAAAACTTAAATATATATTTATCTTTATCTTTCTTTCTAAATAAATAAATACAGACGTATATTTAAGTATTGCTTAAAATTAAAATAACGTTGGTGCAACCAGGCCTAAGAGATCTTAAAATAATGTTTTAAAGACGTTTTATATATATATATATATATATATATATATATATATATATATATATATATATATAACGTCTTTAAAACATTATTTTAAGATCTCTTAGGCCCGGTTGCACCAACGTTATTTTGATTTTAAGCAATACTTAAATATACGTCTGTATTTATTTATTTAGAAAGAAATTTCTTCAAGGGGAGACGGAAGTGGATTTTTGTTTACATAGAAAGGCCCCTCGAATATATAAAACTTTCTCATGAACAACTTTTTGACAGGACAATATGTTTAGAGTTATTAGATTGTAACATTTTACGTGAGCCACCCTGTGTGTGTGTGTGCGCGCGTGTGTGTATAAAATGTCATAGACGTCATACAGATGTCTCTCTGATAACTTTTTAAGGCCCAGTTCTACAACCTCCGTTTAACTTTAACTACCGGTTAAGTCTCAACAGTGATTGGTTAATTCTGATTAACTCTTCTTAACATTAAGGCCCAGTTCCACAACCTCCAGTTTACTTAACTGGCTGGATATTCCATTGGACCAATCGCATTTGACATTAAGAAGAGTTAATCAGAATTAATTAATCACTATTGGGACTTAACTGGTAGTTAAAATTAAACAGATGTTGTGGAAAACTTGGCCTAAGGCAAAGTTCCACAACATTCGTTTAATTTTAACTACCAGTTAAGTCCCAATAGTGATTGGTTAATTCTGATTAACTCTTCTTAATGTCAAATGCGATTGGTCAAGTCCAATGGAATAACCAGCCAGTTAAGTTAACTGAAAGTTGTGGAACTGGGCCTAAATGCGATTGGTCAAGTCCAATGAAATAATTGGTCAGTTAACTAGAGGTTGTGGAACTGGACCTAACCCCTTATCCACAATCTTGCTTTAATCTTTAAGCTATAATCAATTGACTAACCACAGTCGATTATTTAAAAAAAAATGAACTGTGGTTGGTCAATTTCTTATGGCTTAAGAATTAAAGCAAGATTGTGGACAAGGGATAAGACGTTATATCGGGTTATGTGGGTAAGTATGAGAACTTCCAACATTTTGCAAATAACCACATGTGTAAAGTTTCAAGATATTAAAAAAAGAATATTGCATAAAACGCGCGATATTGTAGGCCAAGCTTTGTAAACACGAGATCTTACTTTCATATTCTGCTCTACCTTTATAAGTCATTGCGGGTGCTTTCCAGCTACGTTATACTGTGTTATACAAAACTAGTTTATTGGTTCCATATTATCTTACAAGATATTTTAGATAATATGACCAATAAATTGGTTTTGTGTAACGTAGCTGGAAAGCACCTTGGGCTGCATTCAGAAACCCTACTCGGTGAGTAGAGTAACACTTAATTAGCCAATCAGGGCAAAAGGAACTAAGATTTATTTATTATGATCGGTTTATTAAAGTAGCTCTACCCATCGAGTAAAATTTCTGAACATAGCCCTGCATGTATTGAATCAGACACCTTGTATAAAGAATCAAACAAAGAATTCACGCGACTCAAACCCGGAAACCAAACTAATATTCATGGGCACCGCCAAAGCCTCAAATATGAAACTCTGTATAGAGAGTTGTAAAATTAAATCGACAAAAATTCGCGGAGATATAGAGGACATTAAAATAAAAATATTTTTTGCCAATAACGATTGAAAGCGGCGAAAGCATGCAAGACAAGCTTGTCATACAATAACCTAACCTGCATTTGTTGGCCATCAATTTTCTGAAAGCGCGATTTACTATCTACTATTTCTACCAAGCTAATACACGCAAAATCCTGATACACGAAATGGTCGAATTGGTGATAAATATGTGAAATCATTGACAATACAAACGATCGTATGCGCAACACATGCTTTAAAACAGAAAAGAGGCTGAATTCCGTTTCGAAGGCGGAAAATCGAATATCAATGAAGGTATTACCTGTAATAAATCTGAAATCACGTTAGCAGCAAACGATCGGAATTGATAAGTCGCAACGAAACAAACGGAATACACGTGAAACTTCCACAGATTCTCGCACGAAACCGAACTGAGCTGAATATATCCACGACGATATAATAATGGAAGATAGGAAGACTCCGCGCTTGCATGGCAAATCCAAAGTTAAGCCAGTGACACACGATGCTTGTTCGTGCTAGTTTACTTGCTGGATGGAAGTACTCTGTTCTGATTGGTGCATTTCTGAAGATGCATGAAAACGTATCAATCAAAACAGAATATTTCTATTCAGCAAACACTCCTGGGGCCTTAGGCAGGATTCACATTGCGTCCGATATCCAATAAAAGAATAGCTTTCCAATGGAGAATTGAATTTTATATTAGAAAGCTGTTCTCCTATTGGATATCGAACGTCGTACATCGGACTCACGGTGTGAATCATACATTATTCTTGAAAAATATTACATATGATATTTCTATGAAAAGCTATAATTCATGTTACGTATATTATAGCTTTTCATAGAAATATTGTATGCGATATTTTTCGAGAATAATGGCTCCTGCACACAGGACGCGATAATGCTTGCCGCGTGACAGAAGTTCGCGCGACAGCCAATCAATATGCTGCTTTCCGTAATAACCTTCTAGCTCTTACGGAAGAACAACATATTGATTGGCTGTCGCGCGGACTTCCGCCGCGCGGCAAGCATTACCGCGTCCTGTGTGCAGGAACCATCAGTTGCGTTGATGCTATACCATTTCCCAGATCGATAGTTACTAAAAAGTTTTGACCAGCCGTGTCCGTTTCTAGCTGATCGTTTTTCATGACTGTTGATTCATCCGGCAAGCGGGAATGTCAAAATAGAAGTGACATTTTGACAGTTTGACATTTCATACATACGTATTTTTATCAGAAGTTTATCCGCTCACATGTAACGCGCAATCAGTAGAAGAAGAGTAAGAATGTTAAAAAAGATAAGTAAGAAGTTTTTACTTTATTCGAATAAAGTAGAATGTTTATTAATAACGAATAATTTGAGAGCAAATCGCGTGAAAATATTAAAAGCAGAGACCCTTTGTGTTGTATGTGTATAAATTTATTATAATTTTGTATATTAACTTCTTACTTACCTTTTTTAACATTCTTATTATCAACACAACTGAGGTATAGAGGTGTAGAGATGTAGAGTTGTGACAGGTTATATGTTACGATGTTAAAACTAAACATCACGGGAGTGAGCGAAAAGTTATGGAAACAGAGGTTAATACCAAATTTTGTGAATCGGCAATTCCTCGTGCTATCTTGTGGAAGAAGAAGAAGGTTAGTACCAAATGTCAAAAGCCGTAAATTTCAGATAACGTTATTTTTTTATATAATACGACCTATGGTAAAGGCAGTCACACTATTTATTTTTACGCTCATGAACTCGATGCAAACGTTATCTCAAATTTACGGCTTTTGACATTTAGTACTAATTGGTACTTTCTTATTCTCTGTCTCCATAACTTGTCACTCACTCTCGTGATGTTTACTTTTGACACCGTGACATAAAACCTGTCACAACTCTACACCTCTGTACTCATCCGTCCGACAATGATATTAACCTTGAGAAATAAATTTATGGATCTTAGGAACTTTTGAACGTTGCCAACGATGTCCCCTCTTTTTTATGGATTTTGTCCGCTTACCGATTTTCCTTCACCGCGCTGGCTACACATCCCGCGCCCATAAAAATACGTTCTGTCCAGATATTCCTACGTCCATGGTCCATGGTCAAAACAGTCACGTGATCGAAATCGCCCTATATCCAGTAGCGATTTCGATCACATGACCTGTTTTGACATTAAAATTTTGCGTCAAGCGTAAGCATGAAAAGGCACCTTTAGCTTTGCACTTGTTATATTTCGATGTCAAAAATTATTAAAAAATCCGTTGTTATCAGTTGATAACAATCAGAATTATTAAAACAAAGGTTTTTCTGTCAACAATATTTTATTTGACATAGAAAGAAAAAACCCCGAGAAATTAAATCTTGAACGGCGGTTCATTTTAATGGTATTATGTACATTAATAAATGTAATGGTATTATGTACAATAATAAATATAAAAGCAGTCCTCAATCTTAGTTACTCTGAACTTGCGGTTTTGACCATTCTACACTTAGAATAAGGTGATCGTAGCCATAACCGTTCAGAGTTGTAATCGCTCTCGCTGCGTCTGCCCTGTGTTTGAAATGAACGTATGCGAAGCCCTTGCAGAGATTGGAAAGTTTCTCCTTGGCCAAGAATTGCTTTACCACGGACCCGAAGGGTTTTACGAGTTCATCCAGATCTGCATCAGTGGTGCTCTGCGAGAGATTGGAGATTCGGATTGCGGTCGTGTCGTCTCGTCTCTGCATTTGCATGGAATCACCGCGCTTGTTGCCGCCGTCGCGCATACCGGGCGGCACGTACTTGCCACCTTGCGGCTTAAGTTCTACCATTGCACCTGGTACGGCCGTGTTCACAAGCGGTTTCTTGTCGTCTGGCACTTTTCCTGGAACAGAGGAGAGCGTACGCTTAGAGATTTGCCGAAATAAAGAACGTATCGTGTACCGATATGCCGGCTAAAATACTAGGATCGACGTTTGCAGTTCAGGTCGTCACTTACCTCCAGCGAGAACAGTGTCTTTGTACGGACATTTGGACGTCCAATGGTCACCGTTGCAATTACGGCACTTGACGACACCCTTGTCACCCATGCTTTTCAGTTTATCCAACGAATCCTCCTCCACCTTGTTCTCCTCCTCTTTACTGGATATGAATTGCATAAAGACATCTTCACCGATAACAGTCGTCGCTGGATTAGGCCCCGGCCTATCGTCTTCAGAGTCCCCAAATTTGTCCCAATTCTTACGCGCCGCGATCGTCTTTGACACTACGCGTTGTTCCACCTTGAAGGTGCGCACCACTTTCACCCTCTTGTCGTCTTGATTGTATTTGTATTCAGTAAGTATTTTGTGGCCGTTCTCGTAGACCTCTGAGGGTACGGGCAGCACTCCTCCTTCCTCTTCGACCTCGTCGGCCCAGCTTGACTTTACCTCGGACGCAACTGGCATTTCTGGAAGAATTTAAGTAGATATGAGCGCTATTCTTGGTGTGTTGTGAGTGTGTATGTGTGTAAATATCAAGTCTCAAAATGTTAAAGGAATTGAATACTTTTTTTACGGATATATTAGATTTATTGCATATTTTTAATGGTATATTTCAATTAATGTTATTGAGAGAAGCTTATTTGTCCATGTGACAATATCTGATAATTGGATATAAGTTATATCGTACTATAATGGAATATAATATTTTGTGGGAACACATGGGACACTATGTTGATATATAAATACCTTAAATATCTATTATATATACTTAACCTATTACAGACATCTCAGTCATCTTATTTTTATAATAAATAAAATGTAACTAGAGAGAGAGAGAGAGCCAGAAAGTGTACACAAATGCTGAAACAAATTAGACATGAAATTATACAATATTTTATATGCAGAATATTTTATAATATCACACATTATTGGGGTGTATATCTTATTTAAAATATAACTCTTTATAAAAGATTCTTTACAGAATGTATCCTGTCATGATTCAATCTATCTATTTTATCATCAGAGTTATGTTTGACAATTTTTTATGGATGTTTCACAGTGCATGAAAAACTGAATGCTGTCAACCATTGTTATCAGAATCAATCAGTATCAAAGACAATTTCATTCAAGGCTTACAACAGGCACACAAGCTTGGCAAGATTAAAAAAATTAAAGATACCTGCCTCTCCGTTACTCTTTACTATTTATAAAAAGATATATCCTTTACTATTCTCATTAAATCAATCAAATCTTACAACTGCTATACATATAGTTCATGTGTAACATCATACTTATAAGATAAATCATAATGGATGATTTTGGATCATAATGGGTAGCTTTTTATCCTATGAGACAGATTATTAACCGCATGTCTAATCAAATTATAGAAAGTGATCTATTATATAGTGTATAAATAACGATTGCGCATATAGATACACCATACGAACTGCTGACCCGAGCGTGTAGTATAAGCACGTTGAAAAATAGAATTAAATTACATTAAAGTGTATAGCTGAAGCAATATTTGCTAATATGTGTGCTAAAGCGGCAAAAGTAAATGTGTTCTTACGGAATAATTGTGTAATTTTATTTTTTTATAAGAGATTTCATCAGAACCATTTTGCGGCATATTATTTACATATGAAAATAATAGCATAGATATGTTTACATTTTTTAGTCTTTTTCAGAAACCTCCAGAGATATAGAGGACATCAAAACAAAAATAGTTTTTACTAATAACGTTCGAAAGCGGCAAAAACGTGCAAGACAAGTTTGGCTGTATGTCGGAGTAATGGCGTTAAGGTACGAACCGTGGCAGCACCTCTAGCCAAGTATTGAAGGAAGGAAGGAAGCTTGGCTGTACTATGGTGTAACCTAACCTGCACTTGTTGACCATCGATTTTCTGAAACCGCGATTTACCGTCTACTATTTCTACTAAACGAACGCACGCAAAATCCTGATACACGAAATGGCCGAATTGGTGATAAATATGTGCATCATCGTTGGTACAAACGATCGTATGCGCGACACATGCTTTAAAACATAAAATAAGGCTGAATGCCGTTTCAAAAGCGGAAAATCGAATATTATTGGAAGAATTACCTGTAATAAATCTGAAATCACGTTAACAGCAAACGGTCAGAATTGATAAATCACGACGAAACAAGCGGAATACACGTAAAACTCACAGATTCTCGCACGAAACCGAACCGAATTGAGTTTATCCACGGCGATACAATAACGGAAGATAGAAGGACTTTGCACTTGCACGGCAACTCAAAGTTAAGCCAGTATTCATAGTCAGGCCTTATATTTAAGTTCATCTTCAGATGTTCTACGGATCATTTTATTGGCTACAGAGCATCTAAAGACGAACTTAAAGGCCAGTATTCATAGTCCGATCTTATATTTAAGATCATCTTAAGTACTGTCTTAAGATGTCATGAACCAATCACAAAGCCGTTTGCATCTTAAGACATTTCTTAAGACGGTTTTGAAATAAAATTCGACTATAAATACCGGCCAAAGAGACCTTAAATACAAGTCCCTATCTACGGGTGCGTTCAGATTCCCTACCCGGGTGCACTCTATCACTAGAAACACTATAGTATATGTTACATATACTATAGCACTTCTAGTATTAGAGTGCACCCGGGTAGGGAATCTGAACGTACCCTAAAATAGGTGTAGTAATGGCTTCTGCACACAGGACGCGATAATGCTTGCCGCGCGGCAAAAGTCCGCGCGAGAGCCAATCAATATGTTGTTTTTCCATAAGAGTTAGAAGGTTATTACGGCAAGCAGCATATTGATTGGCTGTCGCGCAAACTCCGTCACGCGGCAAGCATTACCGCGTTCTGTGTGCAGAAGCCATAAGCTTTAATAGTTCCTGCACACAGGACGTGGTAATGCTTGCCGCGCGGCGGAAGTCCGCGCGACAGCCAATCAATATGTTGTTTTTCCGTAAGAGCTAGAAGGTTATTACGGAAAGCAGCATATTGATTGGCTGTCGCGTGAACTTCCGCCGCGCGGCAAGCATTACCGCATCCTGTGTGCAGGAGCCATTAAGTCTTAAGAAATTGATCAATCATAGTGGAATTATAGAGGAATAATCAATTGTGATTGGTTAATTTCTTACGGCTTAAAGCTTACTACAGCTAGGTTGCGTTCTTTAATTTGCAACAGATGTAGTTGAATGCATCTCGTGGATGCATCAAGATTGCACTTTTTAAGGTTACTAGCTAGTGATGTACTGTCCCTAGAAAATAAATTCGCTATTGGTTATTGGATCGATGTATGTCCGTTGTCGGGTCCTAATTATATATAATATGTATTTCATATGGTTCAATTAAAATAAATTAATCAAGCTCTTTGCAATCTTTGGTAATTGCAATCTGATCATCTGATCAAGTTTCAAGTAATAACTATTAATACAGGTTCAGTCCTTGTTTAAGAAGAGTTTGAGAATCTCAAATAATTAATAAATTGAAATAATATGTTACATAATTCTTTAAATAAAGAAGATAAAATATTAATACACTTTAAATATAATACATTATCCTCTGTTGTTCGTGAGACGAACTCCTGGGGTCCGATGCTTGACGATGTACGAATGAGATACGCATGCGAAAATCTACAGTATACGTAACGTGAACTATACAATTTTGCATGCGTATCTCATTCGCATATCGTCAAAAATCGAGCCCCTGATCTGCTCCTGTGTTTATAGGTTTGTTCGAGTTGCTTGTACTTTTCATACTTTTATACCTAATGCTCGTTGTACACTAGTGCACCTCAAACAACACAAATTTTCCAAAATACATTCTGAAGACATTTTCAGGACGGAGGGACGTTATCAGAGTATTCTTAGGACATTCAAAGGTGTGAATTGTCTGAAAATAGTTAATATCCAATAAGTTTATTTGTATTAATTGAGCTTTTTACACTTTCACACTTAGTGCATATTAATTCTTTAGGGGTTCTAAAAATGGCGTCATGTTTTCCGTTCGTGTTACGAGTGTAAATGCAATTCTAATATACCTTTTACACTTGATCCCAAGCAAGAGTGAAAAGTGTATCAGAATTGCATTTACACTCGTAAAGCCCGTATCAGACTACGGATTAAGATTGAGATTGAATTGAAAATTGGCCAATCAGAGCAAAGTTCACCAAACTTGAGCTTAGTAAGTTTTGCTCTGATTGGCTAATTTTTAATTCAATCTCAATCTTAATCCGTAGTCACACGAACGGAAAACATGTCGCCATTTTTAGAACCCCTAAAGAATTAATGTGCACTAAGTGTGAAAGTATAAAAAGTTCAATTAATGCGAATAAACTTATTGGATATTAGCTATTTTCAGACAACCCACATCTTCAAAGGACATCCTAAAAATATTCTGATGACATCTTTTCGTCCTAAAAGCATCTTCAGAATATATTTTGGAAAATTTGTGTTGTATGAGGTGCACTAGTGTGCAACGGGCATTAGGTGTAAAAGTGTGAATAGTACAAGTAACTCGAATAAACCTCATGAGACTGCAAGAGCAGGAGCAAGAGCAGACCATAGAATATTATAGTTATAGATGGGTGATTATACTATTCTGTAACGTCCGGATCTATTTTAAAACATTAATAATATATTATTATAGACCGGAGGCCGACTTGTCTGATTTCAGACATCACTAAATATTTTATCCCTATTACTTAGACATAAGTACGTGCGCATGTGTATATTCGCGTGCGTTAAAACATTGGGCGCATTCAGTAGAAAAAGCGCTCAGTGAGCGCAATCAACGATTATTGGTTCTTGCTATTAGATCCCTAAATCTAGACCAATTACATTGACAAATTACTCAACTGTTGTGCAACTGTTGAGTCTGCTGAATGCAGCCATTATAATTAAAATTATAATGCCGAATGCTGCGTGCCGTTAGAGAGTCTTAAAACTCGATAGATCAACCTAGAGAAACCGTAATCGCTCAGTGCGATAAGAAGTCCCGCTGCTAACATAACAGGAGCATGAAAACTGAATCCAAACACCACTCAGGACACCGACGCGGCGACATCGACGCGGTGACATCATATCGATGGAATGAATCTCTTCCCTCTCCATGACTCCATCAGCCAATCAGAAAATGACTCTCAGCAATAAAGGAACGTGTAAAAACGCGCGCATCGGTAGAGAAGGCGATCATTTTCTTATAATTATTCTTGTAATCATTTTCGCTGGTAATTCTTGTAATATATTAGTCTTAAAGAGAACGTGTAGTAATTACTCTTGCCCATCCTCTATACTTCGAACATTGCAAAACCGAAATTAAGAATCGCGGGCCGCATCATCCCGCGCAGCGCTGAAACATCGAGACCGAACCAGAAAGACGAGCAGCGCTGATTTCTCGCCAGATTCATCGATCGTTTCGCCAGACTCCGAAGACCCAGGGTAAACTCGGTGAAAAGCAGAGTGACTCAAAAGTGGAGTCATCACGGGTGTATATCAGTTGGACACTGGGCAATTGTACATAGTCCAATCACAAGTCGCTGTTCCAAGGGACCCTACAAATGTCTCTAATCACACGGTGCTGTGATTGGCTGTGTCTAAATGCACCGTGCCAAGTGCACCGCTCCCAATCATCACTCTGTTGGCCGTCCACGTAAGTCACTAATTTTAGCTGCGTTCCGAAATTTACTGCCGTACTGAAATCCTATACGTAACATGAACTATAGATTTTCTAATATACGTAACATGAACTATAGATTTTCAGTACTGGCAGTGCATTTCAGAACGCAGCCTTTATTACTTTCGAATTTCCTTATATAGTACCTATTGTGGGCGTAACAATTCCCTCGGATCCAAATCTCACTCGCTCTACTCTTGTTATCGTAAGCACCCAGAGTTCGCTATGGCGACGGGAGCACAGAGTGTGCGTGTTCCGACTGCACTCTCTGCACTCTCGCCGTTTTCTCCACCCCAACGGCCAATGCGGTGTCACTCTCGTCTCCTTTCTGATATTACGGAAAATATAAGTTGGCAATACCAAAGGCGCCGCGAAGATCGTAATGGCGATATGTAGCGCGTTGTCAAGCCCGCCGTGAAGGAATAATGATCCACAGTGCTGTTTTCCGTTTATATATGAAATAACGGCTGCACGAGCAGTGAACACGCACCGGGCACTTTTCACGTGATCAGAGACTAGGACTCGCTACGATGGACCAGGCCCCTGCAGGTGAGCACCCTGTTCTGTGTTACACCGCCGCTTTGGCCGCAGTGCGCTACCGCAGCACGTTCTCTCTCAGTTTCGTTCAGAGCACCCTTATTACGGTGCACCAATCCCGCATTCTCATATATTACCTGCGACTACGTGACAGTCGTCATGCTTGTGATTTCGTCGTTTTTTTTACCTGCGCTTGACCTTACTCGGCGAACATAAAGCATGTTCGAAGCGTGGGTCCGCTCAATAGGTTACCTGCGTGTCTTACAACCAACTTGCTATCGAGTGTTGAGCGAGTAGACGCGAAGGAAAATATCTCATGTAAATGAGCTTGCGAGAATATTTTAGGTTAGAATAATTTTGGACTTGCATGAGTAGCGATTTATCATTTCCACCATTTTCGATTCATTTTCCGCGGGAATGTACTCAGATAGTAGCTAAATTTAGACGTGATTACGAGCTTGTACGTGTTTTATACCGCGAACTCGACTTACCTCGATCACCTAACTTGATTCTTGATTTCGTGTGACGCACAGATACAGAGTTACGGAACATCATTGACAAGCTGGCGCAGTTTGTCGCGCGCAACGGACCAGAATTTGAGCAGATGACTAAGAACAAGCAGAAGGACAACCCAAAGTTTGGTTTCCTGTTCGGCGGGGAGCACTTCAACTACTATCAGTACAAAGTGACCACGGAGCAAGCCAGTAAGTGGCACATATCCCCTTAACAGCTACAGTTCAGTCGAGAAGCATAAAAAAGATAACACGCTTTGTACAACAAGTAATAGAATGACTTTGAAAAACCATATCGGTGAAACAGATCTCATCATTGCAACTATACATTATTGCACATGGAATAGGGAAAACACTTCCTTTCAAGATCTTGGGATCGCTATTTGTTAAGCTGAATACTCTCGCACTGTAAATATATCCTTAGAATTCCTTGGCAATGGTGATCTCAAGAAGACAAGTAGCTTTGACACTTTTACTGGAGCTTATTTAAATATGGAGTCTAAATATATTGTCAATATGTTGCTTTGAGCTTCACTTCTGTAATAGCGTGCCCTGTAAAGTAGTCTAATACCGTTGAAATATGAAGAAAACTCGAGAGCAAAGGCAAGAGTAGAAAAGAGCACAATAGCAATTAAAAGAGTTTATATACAGAATATCTGATAACTTACTACAGAGCCATGGCGTATATAGGTAGGTTAGGTTAAGCTCTGTACAAAAGTCCTCTACCATTTTGCAAACAATTATGTAAGATTTTGAGTTACTTGAAAGAGACCGGAGTGATCACACACTATGCAGTACCATGAACTTTGATGGCGACGCCTGCTATCGTGTGCTTGTGAATTACATCAGATAAAAAAAGTCCTCTACCATTTTACAAATGATTCAAGTTATTAGTTAAAGAAGATTTAAAGAAGAAAATTACACGTGTTCGTCCGCCAATCTTCTTTAATTATTAACTCGGAAATTTACGCGTTATTTGCAAAGTGGTAGAGGACTTTTTTCTTCAGTTTGACCAAATCTACAAGTACACGATGGCAAGTGTCGTGTACTCGCATAGTGCGCGATCACTCAACAATTTTTTTAATTAATAGCTCAAAACGCTTTACGTGGTTGCTCGCGAAATAATAAAAACTTTTTTTGTTGAGTTTTACCTAATCTATCTGTACGCCGCGGCTCGGTAGCGAATTGTCAAACATCCTGTGTATATAACGTGTACAATAAGTTGCTGGATAGTTTAGACATGATAAAGTTGGGACTTCACCAAAATTGAGCGTCATTACTGCGACGGGTTTGTCTAGTATTATTGATAATTATTAATTATCATTAATATATTATTTTTATTTATTATTATTTGATGTTCTTAATTATTAATTATATTATCGCGTAATAACCACGAATCCGCCGGTAATAACTAAATTTCGACAGTCTGATTAGTTCCCAACTTCATTGTATCTAAACTGTCTTGCAATCCACTGTAACATACTTTTCTTGTGTAAAAAACCAAGTATTTCTGTACAAGATAAGACTCGGTAGAGCAAATAAAAAAATTAAAAACTCAAAAAAGAAAGCAAAATCGGACTATTTGTATAACAATTTTTCTCAATATCAATTGAAAGGACTCAGGCATCTCACAATAATCCACCGTCATTCGTTTACAGTTTTAAAGCAAAAAGGAATAAATCCAATGCAAAATGCAGACCCACGTTTAAACGTTTCGCAGCAGCAGCAAACAGCCGCTACCGTCTCGCAGCCACTGAATAACGTCAATCTTGCGTCCGGTCTAAGTACACAACAAAACAATGGCATAAATCCGGTGGTCGGAATCGGACCGGTCGGAAGCCAAGGCGGTCCCGTTTTGCCTGGCGTGCCTGGACAGATCGGGGGGCCGGGAAATGCAGGGCCGCCCGGAATCGGACCAGTTTCCGGCATGGGAGGTGTGAACCCACCGATCGCCGGGGTCGCGCAAGCGGTTAACATCGGGGGCCCACCCGCGTGGCTCCAGAATGAACTGGCGAATCTACAGTCGCAGCAGACAACGTTGCAGGACCAAGTCAGACAATCAGAACAGAACCTGGCTGCACAACATGCTGCGCTGATGGCGCAACAGCAGGGAAGAGTAGAGGACGCCGTGAGGCAGGCACAGGAAACGGCGCTGCAAAACAGTGCGCAAAGCACAAACACAGATCTGGCTGCGTTTGACACGGTACTGCAACCGATCATCGATAGCTGCACGAAGGACAGCATAAGCGCGGGAAAGGCCTGGATACTTCAAAACTCAATTACGCCACAGAGCAATCAAGTAGTCGCCGATCATTTGCTGAAGAAGTACGTATGAGCGAGCGGTTTTCGCCGATTAGAGCGCACGTGCGTGTCTATATTCTGGAATTTTTCTTTCAGAGTAATTCAGGGAACAACTTTTAGCCACAAACTGCACATTATTTATCTGGTGAATGATGTCTTGCATCACTGGTTAGTATAATGCATCACGTATAAGACAGAATGGCACGAGTCCGTTGCGATGGCAACTTCTTTGTCGTAATAATTCTGCTCAGAAACGGCTTTTTTCTCTTTCTCTCTCTTGCGCTCTTGTGGCATCCGTCCTCCGAATAATTTCGCAAATATTCCATCATTTCTCCTCAAGATCTCGAAATCCTAAAAATTCTTGTCCCTAACATTTCCCGATTGCTCCAAGAGACACTCGTGCCTACTTTACGATTGCATTAAACGACGATGTGTCATAAGTTATCATGTTATGTAACCACGAGCGTGGATGATATTTAATTGGAAACTTCTTCAGTGCAAGAAAGAAATCTATGGATCTTCGTAAGGCGATGGAAAGTGTTGTTGTGCCCATGTTCTGTAACACCTCACTAGCCGCATCTGAAGAACAGCTTAATAAGCTAAACAAACTGTTGAGCTTGTGGGAGTCGAAGAACAATTACTTCGACGAAGGAATCATAGATAAGTTGAAGCAGCCGAGTGCTTCTTGGTCGGAATACCAAGCTAGTTTGGTAGCGCAGTATGCCAACGCTATCACACCCATTACGGCGTCAACGAAGCAAACGTTCGATAACTATCAAGCGCAACATCAAGCGTTCGTTACACATGCGCTCAGACAAATCCAGAATATCGAGCAGCAAAAGATAGCAATAGATCAGCAATTGAAAGCACCGCCGCCGCCGCCACCACCCCAAATGGTAATAATCCTGTTCTCCTTTTTCTTTTGCGTTCAATTTTTATTCAATTAAAATTTTATTTATATTGATTTTATTTAATTAGGCTCTTAGATATACAATTAAAAGAGAAAAATAGAGCCAATAAGAGCCAACGCGTTCTATTTCTTGTGAGATTTATACGAATTTATTTAATCTGATTATTAGGGATTTTAGTAAAATATTCTATAGTATTCTACGAATAGCCTATGAATTTACATAGTCGAATTTACATAGGGAGATTAAGTCAAACGGTTCGATTGTGTTTTCGACTTTTTTCAGATCAATATTAAATTGGAAAAAATTATTTTTATATTAATATAATAAAGAATGCTATATATATATATGTACATGCGCGCGCGCGCGCGCACACACACACACACACACACACACACACACACACACACAAACTACAAAGATAAAAGTGCGATATGGTACATGTCAAATAAATAAGAACGGCAGTCATTTTCCGTGCTTTTATAGTTTAAAGTTTAATTGAAAGCCCATAATAAAGCAAGTATGATAAAACAATCAGTATAATTATATTTATTACAGACTTACAATTAAACTTTTTATAATCATGTCAAGTGACTCTGTTGTTTTTATTTATTTGACATTTGTCGCTCTGTTATTTTTATGTTTGTTAACAACGTTTCTTATATAATATTTGTTTTTTGAACTCACAAGGGAAGGTCCTGAGGTGATTCACTAGTTTTGGTTCAAAACTTATGCTGACATATTGTATATGGTGTCACTAAGACAGAATGCAAGTTACAATCCCTATCTTTGCGATATAACAAAATGACGGTATAATATATTTTTTTATTTTTCAATTTATTTTTCAAATAAACTACTCCCGCTTCGATTCGTTTTTTGAATATAGATTGAAACGTTTAACGTATGTCCGTTTAAAAACGCCTAATGAAAACCATTTCAATAAAATTTTTGTTTAATCGTTTAAGCAGATTTACGATTTAACGGAATGGTTTAAACGGATTTTGTTGAGATACGGATTCTGTAATACGTAATCTCTAAAGTACAATCAGTATATTCTTCATTGAAATGCTATACATATAACTGGTGGTTTAGTTAAAAATATAGCACTATAATTAATAAAATCTTGCTGAAAAAATCAAAATGGATAGTAGCGACTGTTTCTATTATTGATGCCATTTGCAAAGGCGGATAGTGTCATTGCATCCAAGTCGCATGAAAGTCGGTAATCCCGTCGCCACAAACGCAGAAAGTTGGATTTGACACAGTGTATAATGAATTTGTAATATACAGATCTTGCAATGAAATCTTACTTTTTGGATCAAAATTAATGAGATATAAAATTAAGCGGTAAAATGGGAGTGTTCCCAATGAAAATCAATGATAATTCACTGATCATCAGTAAAATGTTCCTTATATTTATTCAGTCAGCAATATTTTTACTGATTTACTTTAATATTTATAGGGATAAGAGAATATATACGAGAATATATATTTTACAGTCATGCAAAGGAGAAAAGTATATACGCGGTGTGATATCATTGTTGATTCTTTTTCTGTGACTTGCACGATTGCCAGAAAGAGTTAGCGATTCTTGTCTCTGTTTAAAGATATATAAAGATATATAAACGGATCCAGCGTTATATCCAACGGATACATATTTTCAAAAACATGTGATCGCGATTTTTATATATTTATTACGTATCTTACGTATTATTACATATCTATTATATTTTATGCATCTTTATTATACGTATATTTTTATTTATGTATCTATAAACATATGTACTAAATACATATTTTAACGTGTAATATGGAGTTCTACGCGCCACTTATGAATATTTTTGTCTTTTCGCAGAATCAGCAGAACATTTCCATACCACCTAGTCATCCCGGACCGCCGGGCACAATAGGCACAGATGTGAACTTCAGCCAACCGCCACCGGGATGGGGTGTGCCTCAATCAAACGAACCACCGCCATTTAGCAACGTACCTCTGCCGGACTTTTCGAAGCCACCACCAGGTTTTGGACCCGCACCTGTTATTCATGAACCTTCCGTGGAGGACTTAATGCCTAGCATGCCTTACTTCGAGCTCCCAGCCGGTCTTATGGTGCCCCTGATAAAGCTGGAGGATGGGGAATACAAGCCGCTAGATCCTGACGCGATAAGACTTCCACCGCCTGCTCCTCCAAGCGATCGTTTGGTTGCAGCTGTAGAAGCGTTTTACGCGCCACCAAATCATGATTCTCCGAGAGACAGGTCGGTATTACTGAGTTCACGTAATGCCTGAGAAAAAAACCAGTCTGTAAGAGTCATTTCGTTCTATAAGATGCGTTCTCAATTGTGTTTGCAGTGATGGCTGGGAGAAGTTGGGATTGTACGAGTATTACAAGGCGAAGAATTCCGCGCGCAAGCGCAAGGAGGAGGATATAACCGCCGGCATCAGACAAAGATCTAGATCTCCATCACCGATCCTGCGACCGAGATCCAAAAGTCCTAGTCCGCCAAAGAAACGTTACAGGAGCAAATCGCGCAGCAGGTCGCGTTCACGTTCGCGAGGCAGAAGTAGATCCAGATCGCCGGCGACTAACCACAGACGCAATAGTCGCAATAGCAATCATAATAGCAGAAGTAGAAGGAGGAGAAACAGTAATAAGGATCGTAGCCCTGACAGAAGGATGGATAGACAAGATAGGAGTCCAACACCTCCAAGTTTTCTGTAAATGTCAACGTTTATTTTTCTAACTGATGAGTAAATTTTACTCTGATTACGTTTAAATTTTGAACTTTCACTTTTTGTGTTTTTTTTTTTCCTTTTTTCTTCCATATAATGAAATTCCTACAACGATGTTAGTCTACTGGATAACTTAGAATCACCCAACGCGATTTAAAAATTCAAGTTCTTAGCCACACTTAGAAATTTCCGTTTCACGTTGTTTTCAGTGGCTCCACATACAGTAAAGTTCCGCAGGAGATCAGTATCGACGAGAGCAATAAAGGACATCAGTTGCTCAAGAAAATGGGTTGGGGTGGTGCGGGTCTTGGCGCGAACGAACAGGGTATCGAGGCGCCCATCTCTGGCGGCGAGATTCGCGATAAGAACGATCAGTACAAAGGAGTCGGTATCAATCTAAATGACCCGTACGAGAACTTCAGGAAAAGTAAGGGTCAGGCCTTCATCACAAGAATGAAAGCAAGAGCGGAGGAGCGAGCCGAGGAGAGAGGGGAGCGTGACTGAAAGCGTCGTTGATGAAATACGAGGTTATTTGAGTGTTCATGAAACTTTTGTTATTGGAACCAGTCACAAAACCTGGTATACTCCGAAGAAGAAAAGAAGAAGAAGATTCTTGTTTCGCGATGGACACAATTCTGGAGCGTTTATCCGCGGTCCTATCTGTCTTTCAAGACTCGCTTGAAAGATCGACACACTTCCTTGACTCTTAAGAGCAGTTGTCTTTCATCAACCGAACCCCATCGTGCCGAGTGATCGCAGATGGGTGCTGATTGTTGTATTCTGATGCCAACACTCACTCCTGATGACAGCAATCAGCGCGTATTTTGTGTCTCAAAAAATTGTACATTTTTTATATAGGTACACATATTCTGGAACGCGACATTTCTGAAGAATTAATCTCAATTTTCCGGCGCTTGAGCGCGTACGCTGATGTACATTTTTTATGAGTATACAGAGTGTCACGTAACATCTATCACGTCGATATCTATCACGTGACATGGTGCATAAATTGAAATTGTACCTATTTGTTGTTTAATGATTCTTTTATTGGATGTTGTATACGACATTCTATTAGAAATTACAGAGAAACATATATTTAATGACTCTGTATCGATAAATGAAGCTATATCGAGCTCCGAAGCTCTTTCGAAATCTGATAAAAGGAGATTGGTCCATTTTATTTGCATAATTTTGCATTAATCGGGATTAAAGTGAAGCAAGATCCTTCGTCTCTCGGACTAAGGGAGTCACAATTCCTGTTACATTTTAATCGTGTACGTAATGCGTAACGACGATAATTTTCGTTCCGTTGCCACGCATTACATTACAGCAGCATGTTGCATGATCATACAGTTTTCTTCTGTATTATCTTGTTATGTGAACATAAGGGAGAGAAACAGAAAAATACAGACCATACAGTACGTATCTAGTAAGTTAAGAAATGATTATATTGGATACACAACGCGATAGCTCAAAGAAAAATAAAAACTGTACATTTATTACGAAACGGGCATTTGGCCTCGAAAGTGAATGCATAAATAATCCTCTCGCTGTTGCAGATACATCCTCCTCCTTTCTTTTTAGTGGGCATGCGTTGTCCTACAAAAGAATGTGTACTTTAAAAAGTAGAATAATTTTCTGAAAAGTAATGCTGAAGAATACAAATACCAAGACAATATTTTGAAACATTGAAGATTAAAATTAAATTAAAGTTGTTAATACAATTAACAATTTAAAATTGTCAATACAAAGAGATCCTAAAATTGTTGATACAATTAAGAAGTTACAAATTGTCACTGCAAAAAGATTTTAAAATTGTTAATACAATTAAGAACTTTAAAGTTCTTAATACAGTTGTGGTTTACAAAATTGTTAATACAATTTTACTGAAATATTAGAATTGTCTCGTACAACTAATTGCATTAATATGTACATTTAAATACAGTAAAAGTGTACTCAAACGGATAGCTATTAACATATTGCGAAAGAATCACGAAAATTCTCGTTAGGTATCGAAGAGGATCCCAAGTTGATGTAGTTTATTTTATTTTCACGGAAATTATTAATATCCTTAAAAAATGGATACATTTTTTTTGTTTTATTACATACAAATCTTCAGTATTAACCTAATATCTGGTCGCTGAGCACGATTAGTAATAAAACGACTGATCCGCAATGTATTAATGCACCTACATGTAGGTCGAGTTTTTTAATTCATTGATGGACCCATCATATGATGCGCAAATGCAACGTTTCACTGTATTTACGCATCATGCGATGGATCCATCGATGAATTAAAAAACTCGCCCGTACTGTTTTTGGGAAAGTAGCTTCTCTTCAAGTATAGTCTAATAATATCACTGATTTGGCTTTTCAAACTGACCGAAATATTCACAGAGCTATCAATAACTTTGTTCTGAAATTCTGGAATTAATTTGACTTTGGGATTTATTCATTTGGTTTTTTTACCTCTGATCGGGTTTTTTTATCTTAGAGTGATGCATGAAGCTATAACTTTCCGGCCATATATTGGAAGAAGAAGCGCCTCTCCGCGGCAATTTTATATATCGAAAAAGTTGTATTTCGATATTGTTTCAGTATTTGTGATTTTGTGTTATTACAGCTACTCGGAAAATTGCTCCAGTTTCCGAATTTGGGAATTTGAATTTTTTGAGATAATATACCTCCTTTTCACAATCGAATGAAGTGCGCCACAATCGCTTATCTCTCTCGATTACGACGTGCTACGCATACGAGTCGTATATCGTGCACCAACGGAATCAGAAATTTATGAGGAGAGAGGGGAAAAAAGTCGATAAGACGACGACGCGCGAAAGACAAAGCTGTTCTAATTGAAGTGAAGATATCGCGTGGTAATAAAGCGCTCTTCGGCCGCGCTTCGACGGATTTATCACGCGTCACGTGCGTACGAATTGAGAGGAAAAAAGTGATGGCAGTCATTTAAACGGCCGACCATAGAAGTCAATCTCGAGTCGCCTTCTTGAACTCCTCCAGCGGCAGCTGATAGCGGAACCGACTGAATCCAACGGCGAACCGGTTTCTCTCGTGACGACTGCGGCTCCAGCCGTCACTCGGAGACGTAAACAAAGCCCGGATGATCGGCCGCGCTTTGCTTCACAATTCCGCGATTCTTTTTTGCCGCTCGCGTATCGGACGATGCGCGCGATTTCTCCGAGAGCACGAAAGTTGTGCAGAAGAATGTTTACCCACGCGGCTCTGGATACATCCGGGGAGCACGCTATCAGCACTATTTAATGTTCTCTCTCTCTCTCTCTCTCTCTCTCTCTCTCTCTCTCTCTCTCTAACGCGTTATTTAAAAATTAGCTAACAAAATAATCTCATTGTTCAATTCCTTGTTCATACATCAAGTTTGATCTTATACATACCATTATTTCCATCTTGCATTCGCATTTAGAACGGATTTAGGTGAGCAAGAAAGTCCTGTGCCGTTTTTCGATATTCGTAATAGTTTTCGAAAAATTAATTATTTTGTCTTAGCTAATGAGAGCAGAGGAAGCGGCAGCCGAAAGAAAGATGTCTTCAGCCGGCGTGCGATATACACGACTCGCTACGTCCCTCCGTCCATAGCTACGAGACATAGCGAGACTTCATATACTGAAGCCTGATCTACAATATGTTCTTTGCGTTTTGTTTCTTGTCTTCTGTCTTTTTCTGGCTTAAAGCTTGATCTATAATGTGTTATTTGCTTCCTGTTACTTTTTCTTTATCTCTTTCTGACTCAAATCTTAAACTAAAAAAAGACAGAAAATAAGAAATAGGAAGCAAAGAACACATTGTAGATGAGGCTTAAAGCTTAAAATATGAGTCAGAAAGAGATAAAGAAAGAAAAACAAAAAGTAAATAACACATTATAGATCAAGCTTAAAGTTGGCCACACACACTTTCCGTAATAGTAACCGTAAGACGTAACGTAAGAATTGACCAATCATGTTGAGAATCGTCGAATTGTAAGGTCGCCATTTTTGTGAATACTCGATCGTAATTGGTCAATTTTTACGTTACGTCTTACGGTTACGGAAAGTGTGTGTGGCCAGCTTTACTCATGTACATGACATATCCGTGTGCCGAATCGACGTCGAATCTAAGAGTGTGTTGCCGCTTCGTTGTTTCACCTCTACATACAGCCAAAGCAACAACACGTTTCGATTCGATTCGATTATGTAATGCACATGTGTAGTGTATCAAGCCTCGCTATGCCTCGTAGCTATGGGCGGAGGGTCGCAGCGGGTCGCGATTCGCGTGTATCACGGTCGCACGCCGGCTGAAGACATCTTTCTTTCGGCTGCCGCTTCCCCTACTCTCATTAGCTGAGACAAAATAATTAATTTCTCGAAAACTATTGCGAATATCGCAAAACGGCACAGGACTTTTTTGCTCATCTTAATCCGTTCTACGTTTTCACAAAAGATCATCATGGAGGTCTGAGACACCCTATATATACAGTGTGTCCTACCACTATCGCATTATATCTTAAAGGCGGATTTTTAAGGTAATTTAAAGAAAAAAATCCTAATGCAAAAATGTCGAGCCTATAATACTTTTAAAATTATAAACGATTAAAGTTGACCAATTATATTGGCTAAAGTACGCGCGCTCAGATACGGTATACTCAGTTGCATTGAAGCTATACCATTCACTAGATTGATAATCACTAGAAAATTTCAACCAACCGTGTCCGTTTCTAGATGATCGTTTTTCATGACTGTTGATTCGTTAGGTAAGCGGGAATGTGTCAAAACTGTTTTTATCAGAAGTTTATCTGCTCATGTGTAACGCGCAATCAGTAGAAGAAGTGTAAGAATGTTAAAAATAAGTAAAAAATATTTTTAAATATTTTTTTTACTTAAAATATTATTTTCGAATATAGTAAAGTAGAATGTTTATTAAAGTAGAATGTTTATATTGGAACGTTTATCAAATGACGAATAGTTTGAAAGAAAATTGCGTGAAAATATTTAGATGAAATATTAACACGTAAAGCTGTCAAAATGTCACTTCTATTTTGACATATTTCCGCTTGACGGATGAATCAACAGTCATGAAAAACGATCAGCTAGAAACGGACACAGTTGCTCGAAACTTTCTAGTGACTATCGATCTGGTGAATGATATAGTATTAATGCAACGAGTGTACAATATACAATGGTACAGGTGCACATAAGTGAGAATTTGCATAAGATATGAAATTAGTTGTAAATCTCTGAAAGAAACGTCAAATGTGTGACAGCTTATTGATTCTCATAAACATATTGTGTGATATTTTATTCATAACATTTTGATGAAATTGTTATTATTTGCGATATGTTTATTTAAATGATAGAAAAGACAGATTATTATTACATATGTTGTTGTATGTATAGAACTTCCGTATCAATATTTGGAAAAGGAACGCATGCACCTGTATCATTGTATGTTAATAATATTAACGATTTATTTAAATACCAACTCCCCGAAAATCCCTGTAAGCAATTAATAAAAAATTATATAGAAGAAATAACGACGAAAGAAATTAAGAAAATAAGGAGACAACTATCAGACGCATTTAGGGAAGAGATAATACACTTTTTTATTAAATAATATTTATTTATATATTTTACTTATATCACGATGGTTCGCAAATTTTTCCTTTTCAGTTTTCTTTATATGAAATTAATTATTTACAAAACTAGATTAAAATCAAATAAGAAAAGAATACAAGAACAACAGGGAGTACAGGAACAAAACAAAAACAATATACAAGGTGTCCGGTAATTGATCGAGCAACCGCCGTGTACGGGTAGAACGGGTCAAAATAATCATAAAAGTTATATACCATTTTGAAATTTTCTCAATATTTATTCCGTAATTAATTAAAATGTATAAACGAATGAGCTCACGAGAAGCGGTAGGATAGGCTCTGTGTGTAAAAGAAATGGCTTACCTCCTAGCAACGATAAGTAAACAGCTAATTTCGAGGCGGAGTAACGAATACGTGTCGCTTATTACTCCGCCTCGAAATTAGCTGTTTACTTATCGTTGCTAGGAGGTAAGCCATTTCTTTTACACACAGAGCCTATCCTACCGCTTCTCGTGAGCTCATTCGTTTATACATTTTAATTAATTACGGAATAAATATTGAGAA